ACAGTACTTTAAAAGCTTGCGAAGCTTTATCTAGCACTTCCTCGCCACCAGAAAGGAAGTAATGTGAGTCAAAGGTAGCGTGTCAACAAGTACGTCAGCCTAGAACTGCAAGAGTCAGGGAAATGTTGAGAATGACACGAAGAAACAAAGGCTATCAATGCACCTTCCCCACACACCAAAACCACAGTGAAATGACCAGATAGAATCTGCACACGAGCCTACTTCAATGCTTCGAGGGAAGCCCTCCCCTCCCCCTCCAGGTCCCTGACACATAGGAAGAGGTGGTAAATCCTTCTTGACCCTTCTTTGCTAATTAGTTTAACCTCATGAATATGAGCAAGAATCACTGCTGTTCAGGTGCTGGGAAATACATCTCAGTGACTCATCCTGGCAACCCACAGAATTAAGGCCAAGTGCATTCAACTGCAGTGCATGAGCTGTTTGTCTCTAGGTTGAGGTTCATGGTGATAAGCATTAGGGTTTTCTCCTCTTTGAAATTTGCTTCCATGGGAAATGTCTAAGCCCAAACTTGGCCGTGTTTAGTTAATCTGTTTTGGGAATGCTTGAGTCCTGTCTGGGCTCGGTGTGGCACGTTACAGGGAGCCACATTTGGATTTGGAGTTTGCGGGTTTGGTTTGGACCCACCTCTGTTCGGAGGAACCCAACTGTGTGGTGATTATCAGCTCTGCAGTTCCTGTGCCTTTGTAGAGTAGACATTATTCTATATTAGAAACCTTTTGAGTTCACAAATGTGATTCTGGACTATCACATGGGAACCATTCACAGAACATGATGTGAATGCAGCAAAAAGCCAAATAGCACACATACAATTAATTCTAGCAATGTTATAGCAGAAGCAACACCTCTATTGAAAAGAGGGAAGAGCCACCAATGTCAGATAGTGTCACAGCTATAAACCCATGGACTCCTTTAGTAAAATTCCAGCCACTTTTCCAAACTTAACTCCCACCCTGTCAGATCCCAGTCAGCTCATGTGATGTTCACTTGACAGTGTGCAGCTAAATACAGGACTGACATTTGCACCCTGACAGATAAGTTCTGTACTGTTTCCTGGAATGTTCACTTGACAGTATGCACTTAACTACCAGGTAGATATTTCAATCGGACCCAAACCAAGCTTTCTATCTAGCCCTCAATCTGAAGAACTGTGGAGCCCTCATCTGCTTCTCTAAGATTAAAGAGCTTTCAGTAGCCTCATTTCTCCACGAGTGAGTGGCAGGATGGTTTCCTATAGTAAATCATCCACCATGGTTCACCATGCCACATGCCCTCCTCTCCTTTGCTTCCTCTCATACCCCAGCAACTCCCTGTTCCCAACATCTAGTTTCTTCCCTTGAAAATCAAACTTCACAGCCACTCCCTGTCCTTTCTTCCGATCTCCCTCCCTCCTTCCGGGTTAACCACAAGTCACAATCAGAGAACCTAAGATAAAGGCAGGTTTTGTACATACAAAACAGGTATACATGCTAATCCTGCAGATGCAGTTTAGAAGTCCCGGGTATTTGTGTGCATAAACCCTTCACAGTTATGTACATAAACATAGAGCAGAAGGTACAAATTAATCTGTAGGTCAGAATTATTCCCTTGCACTTGCAAATGTGAATTTTTCCTACAGTCAGACTTTGTGGGTGCCAAATGCCATGCAAAAAGCTGTTCACATGGTTTGACAGGAGGCAGGAAGTATCTGAATTCTCTCCAGAAATAAGATTTTTCCAGCTCAGTTTTGCAGCTAGCAGAGATTCAGATGGTTCTGACAAGGATCTAAACCTCAGGGTGCTTATTTATAAAGCAATTCCCAAACATGAGGTTCACCTGTCACCAATTGCCTCACCGTATCTATCTGTGAAATTGCTTCATTCTAAAACAACATTTCCATGGGATAGTTCCCAGTCTGTGTTTTGAGTTCTCTGATGCATCTTGTCTGCAGTAATATGATCTGGGATTGTATTTGTGTTGCTGCTTTTGATCCTCTCCAGGACTCTATATTGCTTTGTTTCCTTCTATCATTATTTAATAAAAACGCGGACAGAAAAGACAGTGCAAATATTTGTCATGTGAATCAAAACAGAACAACTCTAGCCAGCCCATGGAATTTGGTGCAGTCCTATACATAGAGTAGGGGCTTGTACACACTACCAGTTATGTAGGTAAAACTTAGGTCACTTGGGTGTGAATAAGCCACCCCCCTGAGCAATGTAAGTTACACCACGCTAAGTGCCGGTGTGGACAGCGCTATGTTGATGGGAGAGCTTCTCCTGCCGACATAGCTACTGCCTCTTGCAGAGGTTGTTTTATTATGCCAACGGGAGAGCTCTCTTCTGTCGGCATAGAGAGTCTTCACCAGTGCGGCGCTTCTAGTGTAGACTAGCTCTGGGACTCAAAATAAAGAGAGGAACACACACAGTCCTCTTGTCGCAATAAAGCAACAAGTTTAATATAAAGTACACAGTATAGTAAGAAGATGGCAGGGAAAGAAAAGCTAAAATCTCCCTTGATTAGTTTCTCGATGAATCCCTGAAGGAGCATGCAGACTGACTCTCAAATTCTCACGAATTTTTACAGTGCGGTGCTTGGGTTGCAAGCTAATGAGGGGCTACAGCCACTGCCTCTGAAGACCACCAAAGCTATAGCAACCATCTGGTGAGAATCACACCTGAGGGTTTTCTTGGTCAGTAAAAGGAGAAAAACGGAATTTGAAGAATAGACATGAAGAGGCAAGAAAGGTTAGTGGCAACCTCAGACAATGGAGAAGAACATGAGAGCTCAAATGGCAGTTGTTCTTGCAGTTGATAAACCAGGACAGGGTGCCTTGGTTTGTGGTATCTTGCAGGTTTGTGGTACCGTGTGGAAAAAGTGTCACTGCTTTGTAGATGTAAGTGTTTGAATTTCCCTTTCAGCTGCCCATGCAGAACTTGGGGTGCACCATAGCAGACCTCCATTTGCAATTTTTTGGAATGTCTAGTATCCATTGTAAAGTATTAATTGGCATAGTTGTGGCAGCAGTATGGATTCTGCCTTCTCTTATGCCTTGTCAGGTGTCCATCATTCAGTCCCAGGGAGTGACTCTGAGCTCAAACCCAGCTGAGTACATATCTCACAGATGGAGGATTTGATCCTTCTCCCAGTGAAGTTAATGGGTGACCTGATTTCAGTGCAGGCAAGAGCAGGCCAAGAGGCTGTGACATTAAACAACACAGGCAAGGAACTCACACGTAAAGGCCAACACTTCCCTCGGCACAAGAATGCTCCCTGAATTACTGTTAATGCATCTTTTGAAGCCTCAGTGTATTAAGGATTTGGATTCATTTAACTGATCTCATTTGTCTTTATTGTCTTCTAAAATCAACTTCATACCCTTCGAATAGCTATGGGCTAGGGGAATTGTTGAGAGGCTACTGATCCAAATGATCAAGTAGGATAGCCCCTACATTAAGTGGTTTTGTTTATTTGTGTTAAAAAAAAGTATGGTCATGGGTGGTGGGGCTGTTAATGAAACCTATTACAACCTGACATGATTAATTGCCAACCCAAGCACACCAGCACTGAATGAGAATAGGCAAGTGAAACTGACCAGGCTAATTTCACTCTTTACTGAGTGGAATTACAAAAAAAACAAACCAATTTGGATTTTAAAACTTTGGCCTTTGTAACCCCAGGTTCTCTCATCAACAAAGATGGGGAATTTTTCACAAATGGGATCATTATCTGACAAGGCTCAGTCTTGCTCCCCTATAAATACATTTTCAAACCTCCTTTTGACCTCAGTGGGGGCAAGGTGGAGCCCAGAGTATCCCATTAAACAAAATGAAGGAAGGAGGGTTAGTTAGCCTGGTGGTCTAATCATCATACTTTGCATTACCACACAGGTGACTCACATTTGATTTCCTGTCCCTTATCTCTTAGTCTCAGGTCTGGCCAGAGCTAAGAAAGGATCAAGAGCAACACACTGAAATCCCACAGTGGGAAGGGTGTGTGGGGGAGATAAGCGGAGAGTAGGGCTGGTTTTCTATATGCCATTAAGGAGCACTGGGTAATGGGTTTTATCCAGGCTTCCTTGGCCAGAAGGGTCATTGCCAAATAATGGCGCCTCAAAGGCTAAAGAATGTTGTAAACATGGGAGAAACATGAGGAGGAGTCTTGATAATGCAGGAACCCCCAGAAAAGGAGCCGGGGGAGGGGTGGGGGTCGAAAATGGTGACTTAAGCAGAGAAATAAAACAAAACAGCATCACTGCTGGATACTGCCTGGGCCTCATCATATATTGAATATAAAACAGCCTTTCCTCCCACCAGCACCGAGCTTGTCAAGTTGATTGAAACGTTAAAAGGAAAGCATCATCTTTAAATGATTTTACAAGAGAAAAGAAATCTTCATTTTTGCACCACAACCTCTAGGCTTCAAAGGAATAAAATCTATGATCCTGCCTATCCCCGCACCACTAGAGTAAAGAAAGAAAGCACGAGAAGAAGAAAAAGGACACGGTTAACATCTGGCTCCTGATTCTCTGATGAAGAACCGAGAGATCCCTATTAAAATGGCAAGAGCTGACAGTAGCTAGGAAGGTTTCCTAGTGTGCCTTTGTTCTTTGAAGACAAAATAATAATAAAGCTCTGATGTCATTCCTACCTATGAAAGGCTTTGCTTTGTTAGGGTGGGTTGGTGGGGCACCCCAAGAGCTGGGTGGATACAGCAAAAATCTGCTTCAGTATAAAACCAAAGATAATGGAAAATGGTCCATGTCCCTTGCAAAGATGACTGCTTGTGTCTGCTATGGGGAGGTTATGGAGAAAGGCCGCACTGTTGGGATTTACACATGGAACACCAGTGATACAAATACTGGAGCTTGATCCCACATTTACTGCACAACCAAATCTCCCACTGAAGCCAGTGGGAGTTTTAAATGCAAAAAATTGACCCCACAGTTCATATGTGACAGCAACAGTCCAGTGCAGTGAGATGAGGAAGGGAGAGCCACTCACCCTTACGAAGCTGGCGGGAAACCATCCTTCTTCATCGTCAATCTGACCCCACCACCAGTCCTTGTTGGAAGCATCCAGGACCTTGATAACGTCTCCTGCTTTAAACGCCAACTCCCGGTTGGCCATGGTGACGTGATCCCATACTGCCTCAGCACTTACAATAGAACCACCACTGATCAGCTTTAAAAACAAAACAAGAGACAGTCAGCAAACACTCTGTCCGGGGACCCAAAAACATTCACATACACAATGTAAAAACAAAACACTCAGCTAGAATAAACAACCCCCCCCCCATTTACTATCATTGTCATTGCTACCCCCATTTTCACTAATAATACATTATTCAAACCCTTAAATAGATAGAATATCCCATTTCTTAGTTGCTAAGGTCCTGACACTGGGAGGTGCTAAAGGGAACAGTGTTTGCTGGGGCTCAGAATTTCTCACGATCAGGCCCTATGTGATTAACAAGCAAAGACCTCACCCTACCTCTGAGCCACACCTATGCACACATGCTTTTCAAGAAACTAGGCTTTCATGTATGCTTTAGTTAGCACAGTATATATCTGGGTGTTCCTAATTATGCCATCTTGGCAAGGAATTTTAGCAACAGGACAGTCTTTTATATTTTGCTTGGCAAAGTGGTATATTCCCATCTTGATGTGGCTGAGATTTTGCAGACAATTCCAATTAATGGATGACCATGTTGGCAATCCTCGATCTACAGAGCAAGTGCAGCATGGGCATTTGGCAGAGCAAAATTTCCCTGCCCCAACCTACTGATTTGTCTTAAACCAGAGCTGGAGGGAAGAACAGACTCAATAGCCCATTCAACCCTTGGTCGGTTTGCTGAGAGTGTCAATTTAGTGCTGATTGTGGTGATGGGTTTCATGATGCAAACACCTGTCCACTAGAAACTAGACGGAGGCCCCCGAATTCATCTCCCCCAGGCCACAATGAACACGGAACACTCAATCTCTTTTGAGTTAGGGTATATTCATATCCGTGACCTAGAGGTGAAAGGTTCTGTTTTCCATTAACAGTTTTCTGAGCCATCTAATCCTCCACAACCCCCTGATTAACATGGAATGAGTCATGTCAACCCTCCTCCTCGCATGTCTAGATGAGAACAATCCAACCGTAACTGGGATCACCCATTGCTTCTCACAAGGATGCGCACAGTTTTAAACAGGAGAATAAATTCTGCTTATGCTTTGTTCAGTGAACGAACTGTACACTGAGCGATAAGACTGGATGGGTATACACAGCCTGGTGACCATGCCAGGAAGGGACAGCTTTACATGTGCTAGTTACACAGATTTTCTCGGATCACCTCCTCAAACCCTGCTCTTTAATTCTGTAGCTTGAGATGTATTAGATGTGGTTGATATGGGCTCAGTTCCAAATCAGTATTTCATCTCGGGAAGCAAGAGACCCAACTCTGCAGCCATTAGGGACTTTCCACATGGCATGAACTTAACAGTCACAGACATCCACTCAATTTAGGTTAACAATGCAAGACACACAAAAGAAAACAACCCATCATGGAGGCTACATGAAAGCAGAGGCCCTGCGAACTGTTAGAGGATTCTGACTCCTCTTCTAGAAGTTTAGTCAGTAAAGAAATATCTGATCAAAAATTTGCCTGCACAGAAGGAACTTGCAGTAAATCTTTCACCACTATTGCACAGGTTCTAAGTGTATAAGAAGACAGATCCTCATGAGTAGATTTGCAGGACTTGTTTTACCCCATTCCTTGAGCTGACATTCCTCTAAGAAGTCAAGCTTCATAGGTTTGTGAAAAATATTGGTGGGCTTTCAACTCTTCAGTTATCAGAATCAGTTGTGCATAGAAAACGAAATCTAGCTCAATCTTGATACTTAATGCTTTTCATCGTCAAAGCACACTACAAGCACGGACTATTCTCCCCATCTACAGTAGGTAAGGTAAGATTAGTTACACCCATTTTACAAATGAGTAAACTGAGGGAGTGGAGTCACATGACATCCCCAAGGCCACAGAAGGAGTCAGTTTCAGAGACAGGATCTGAACTCAGGAGGTCCTGTGCCCAGGCCCTTTGATTGCACCTCTGCCTTTTTCATAAAGCCAGTAGGTTGCTTATATTTGCAAGTTTTCCCAGTGATATTGTCAGGTTCCAACATTTTCCAAAGGACATCCAGATTTGGTGGACCAGTAGCCCTAAACACATTAAGTACTTGCTAACAAAAGTGACAATTTACTTGTCCTCAAGTCCAGAGACAAATGAAGAAAAAATATTCTTTCTACAAATGTCTGTTTTACAGCCCTTTCTAGAACTCCCTGGAAATTTATCAAAAACAAACTCCTTACAATCGCACACTGCGGACAGAGAATGCACTAGGGCCCAGCTTGATAAGGGGACCTATTTAACAAGAAGCCCATAATGGGACTAGCACTGCACCTAATCTACCCATGTAGAAGGCACCTTGATGTGTATTTAACTTCCATACAGATGTCATAGCTTGGGCATTTGGTGCACAGCTCCTTCTGCAAGGTACAGGTCGAACTGAACTTAATGGGAGTTGAAGGCACTTCATACCGCACAGGAGGTGCTCAGCCTATTAGAACACTGGGCTCTGAATTAGCATTACGGTAGTTAGGCAAGAATTAGTCTGGAAAAATGATGCAGGTTATGATGACCAACCCATGGGTCTAGCCTCTTTACAGCACCCTTATTACAGGACATGCTTTGGAGAAGCTTTTCAGATAGGTACAGCCGGTCAAATGGTCAAATCATTTATTTGACAAATTTCTTTATATTTTCCTTAATTACTCAATGAATGTTTTTAAACATTATTTGCACAACTGGAATGCTGGGCTGATAATTCAACCAACCTATTTTCAAATAATATATTGGATAAATTGTGCAATGTGTTTCAAACAATTTGCCCAGCTCTGGAGAGGGAATAGGTTCTACTACAGGACTTCCTTAATACAACCCTTGGCATTTTGCTAACACAACAGAAGATCCCCAAGGCCCTCACAAACACGAATCAGTTAAGTCGCCAATAATCCCTATGATAAATCAAGAAGGAGAATTAGCTTTCTTTATAGATGGGGAAACCAAGGCACAGAGAAGTTTAAGTGACGTGACCAATGTCACACAACAAGTTAGTGCTAGAGCTCGGAATGGAATCTAGATCTCCTAACTACCAACTCCATGTTTTAACCACATCCCATTTTTATGTACGTTTGTTGTTTCCATTGCATTTTTCATAATTGTGGATAGTCTCTCTTCAGGACACACTACCCAGGCAGTGTTGTGTATTTTAATTCATAGTTGTATTGTGTATTAACTCCTTAAGAGAAGTAAAACCTACCAGTTTTTAATGTGGCTAATTACCATATTGAATACTAGTTTTCAAGATGATCCAGGAACAGAGCTATTGTACAAAGGGCTTAATCCTCTTCACCACCATCACCCCGCCTCCCTCTACCTCTCCACATATGCTATTCCTGGGCACAGACTCCACACACAAAAATATTCCTTAGACCAAAATTCAGAGTGATTTTCTTTTAGATTTGTTATTGTGCTGGCAGGATAGAGTAACCTGAGCCTGACCCACACAATTCAAATCCTAAGAACTGCGCCATGGTCAGCGATGGTAGGTGACAGAGACTCTCTGTTGGCCAGGTAAGGAAGGCCGTTTGCTGGACATTTCCCTTCCTTTATCACTGTGAGCATGTGAAAGATTCTTTCACTAGATGTCAGAGCCCAAATGACTCTGAAAGGCATTTGTTGATACACAAGGAGTAAAGAAAGCCTAAATTCCTTCACTTTCACTCTTCAGTGACACAGGATGGAAAAAAGGCCCCAGGTTGCTTTACCAGGGCTTCCTTCCTGCCCTCATTCTGAGACATGAGCAAAGGAATGGAGATTCCGTTTGACGAAATCCAGTGGGGGTGGCTGTGCCTTCTAGAACACAAATAAGGTGTGATCTAAAACAAAAAGGAGTGAGGCAGGTTGGCAGGATTCAGGCTCCAGCCATCACATATGTTGCACCCATTGAAAAAAATGCCACAACCTAGAAGTAAAAGTCTAATTCTTTCTCTAGTTCATTTTGTGAGACATTGGGCTGTACCTGTAAGGCAGCCTGACTAGTACAAGGCAGGGTTATAGAGATGGGGCTTGACATCTGCAGCAGCAACAACAGACAATGAACGAGAGAATCCTATAAAATCTAGGGAAATTCAGGTCAAGAGCCAAACACACCAGAAAGCTCCAATCTCTATAGTGAGCTGAATCAAAACCTGATTTGGACATGCCTAACCCATGAGGCATTTCAAACCCAGATACTAACTTTCTGGCTCATCCCCATCTCTACATGGACACCTTAGGTCTTCAATTCAGCCATCTCTCATGACAGTGGAGATGGCCTACTAGTTAGGGTTACCATACGTCCGGATTTTCCCGGACATGTCCGGCTTTTTGGGCCTCAAATCCCCGTCCGG